GTGTGACTTGTTTGTCTTCAACTTGAACTACTTGCAGGGTTTTATTATCTAACAACATGATTTCCTTGCAGGATTTGTTTACAGTCATTATCCAATAAACTTGTTTTCTTGTAAGACATACTTGTCTTCATCACCCTGCATTTTTGCTTAATGCATAGCATACACATCATAGCATCATACCATAGAATTTCCTTAACCATTTCAAGGATCTCAAGGGCCTGTGGTGCAGGTTATGATGAACCAGACGTCTAGCAAGGGGTAAGGGGGTTTATTTTCCTCTAGCCAATATCGTAAAAAGATCAAAACACAATGACTTGAGTCATGGGCTATGACCCACTCGATATGGTAAGCTTGACTCTCGTAGAAGGACCTTTAACGATACGAAGTTCTTCAATCAAAGTTGTAAAATTCAACTTCTGACATTTTCTTGTTTACCCCGCGAGATCCTTGAAAACATTTACACATCATGCATGTCTTTATATAACAACTCTTCCAATACAGGTCTCTCATGTTCTCGCTGTTTATATCAGTAAGAGAAATGGCTCTCAAACAGAACAACAGAGATCTCCAAACTCAAGAGTCTCAGTTCATGGAAATCTTCCTCAACCTATCCAAGGGGCAGGAAGAATTGAAAACACTCCTCAACGGGAACTTGACCAAGAAACATCCTGACAACAATAAGGATGAACAATTGGAACAACTGCAAGCTGAGATAAAAGCAATGAGAATCTAGATGCTGGGGCAAATGGCTCTTATCCAAAGTTTAGATCGGGAACAAGAAGAGTTAAGGTTTCTCATTAGCAAGCTTCATCAAGATGGATGCAATCATATGGAGAAAACAACAAGCATTGGGGATCGAGTCTTTAATCAGCCTCAGTTGAAACAAGAGGATTTGGTTGAAAAAACAACTTTCAAAACGGCTGCTATGCCAAGGGTCCAACAATGACCTCGCCAACCACAATAGGGTAATCAGAAAAGGCAAGACAAACCCAAAAGGCAATTCACAAAAATCAAAATGTTATTGGCTCAGGTATTGCAACACATGTTGAAGATGGAGTTGATTACATTAAGGGATCCTCCTCGAAATCCCAATGTCTCCGCTATTAGCTATCATCCTGATGCAATGTGCACATACCATTCCAATAGTCCTGGACATGATACAAATGACTGTTGGGCATTGAAAAATAAGATTCAGGACTTGATCAACGAAGGTGTGCTGGAGTTCACACAAGATGGCCAAACTAAATTCTTCTGCCATTCCTCAAAGGCACACCATCTGAAGTGACAAGCTAAGACAAAGAGGCTTTTTGTTCATCTAGAATTTTCAATTTGTAATTTCTTTTGATTGTTCGAACATTTTTTTCATATAAAACTTTGTTATTTTATCAATGCATTGCATATGTTTGTCTTGAATCATTTCATTCGTATTCGCTATATTCAAACTACATTTTACTTCCTTTTTATGATATTCAACTCTCTATCAAAAGCTCTAAGCCTTTAAGAGGGAGGATGGCGAAAATGATACCATAATCTCTACAGTATGCTTTTGAGTAGACCCCGCTGACGATGTACAGGCGTTGTTTCAAATCCTAAACAGTGGAGTTGTAAGGAAGATAATCCCTAGTCAACCCCTTTGAGCCTAAGAAGTAGGAGTTTTTCTTTTCACACAAAGTAAAACCCTTAATCATAACCTGCGGTAGGGTAGTTTTGTCAGTTAATTCAGATGTGCATTCAATCGCAAACTTCCCCCTTCATGCACGACAAATAGTGTAGAAGATACTCTCTAAAAGATGGTGATGGTTCCACATAATCATCAAGACAGGAAGTCGTTATCTCTCAAAATAAAATATCGTTAAGTCAAAAACCTATGAAGGATACTTAAGAAAAGATGGGGCATCCCGCTAACTGTAATCACAAAATAAACAGTTCAGGAAAAAGTATGGATAACAAAATAAAAAAGTAGGTCCTACAAATCCTCAACAAAAAAAGAAAATGTTACAAAAATGTCTGTCTTCTCAAATAAACGTTCAATTTTTGAACCATCGCCCAGTATCAGATCAATGATTTCAGACTCAACTGGAATCTAAAACGCACAATTAACTGAGTTTAAGACTGAAGGACATCACGAAGAACGGGTTAGGTACAAATAAATTTTGAGCATTTATCCTTTGTTTCTTAAACCATGAACCAGGCCACGTTACAACCCTTAAAAGTACTAGCTGAAGCATGGGTTAGTTCGAAAGCATATTGTTACAAAAGGTATCCTGGCTCTTGTAAGGTTTGCTATAAATCATGAGTTGATATCACATTCTTGCAAATTTTGTTTTACTACAAAAAATGAATTTTCAAAAAAAGAATTCAAGACAGACATAAGCTTTGCATTCTTAAAATACCATTGTTTGCATATGACTATTTGTTCAACAGTAGAGAAATTTGCACGACGGATATTCGATGAAGAGAAATTCTCTCAGTGGACAGAATCACCTCAAATGGAAGGACATTCCAATAATAGGCTTTTCATAATCAAGGGGCATAGCATGATGCCCAAGCTAATCTGGGGCAATTAAGCCAACATGCAAAGAATATCTCCAAAAGTGTTGAATAGCCAGGGGGAAGATCTCTATCTGAATCACTCGAGGCCTGTTACATTGGTCGGGGATTCCAGCAAAAAAATCACTGAGAAATTTGAATCTTTGGTACCACCAAATTGTTTTTCTATGTCAATAGTATCAGATGGTGTCAGTATTATGTCTATGAATCCTTCCATGTCAGTTCTTAGAAAATGCTAGAGAAGACTGTCAAAAACTCGATCAAAAACCTTTGGTACCACCAAAATATTTATTCAATTTCATTCATAAGAATACTTTGAATATATATAGGAATACTAATCAAAATTTTAAAACTAAGTTGAAATTTGCCTACTCTTGCAAGAGCATAAGGTACCTCATTTACATGCTTCCTAAGAATCTCTATCTTAATATTTTTTTTCTTTAAATTATTAAGAAGACATAGATAACTAAGGTAATAATGCCAAAGTTAATATAATATCTTTTATATAAAACTGTTCACCAAACTCTTATGGAATCAAATTCAAACCCAACCATACTCAAGTGCATATCTTTCACCAATTTTAATATTGATAACAACTAAGAACTTTATCCCGGATCTAATTCATTAAGAGTGGCTAGTTTTTGATTTTTTTTCCCAAAAACAATGAACTTAATACTTTGGAATGCACTTACCTTTATTAAATCAAGGATAACTTGATGAAAAAGAACAATTAAAATCAAATAAAAGACGCCCCAACACCAAGGTTTTGAACTTAACAATTGATGCGTCTATCTCAAAAAAATATGGTGTAACACTAAATTATTGGGTGACAAATTTTATTCTTCGAGGAAGTTAGTCGCACAATTAGTAAAATGTTAGCTTATTCCAAAAAATCAGTTCTAAAATATGTTATTTTGAGGGTCTAAGAATATTGTAAATAAGAATGAATTATAGAAAATTTATGTTTTACAAGTTGTTACAACACATAGGAAACCTTAAACATAATGTTGTTTTGAATGATTTTCTCTATGTAGAACTACTTGTATTATGTTTAAAATGTTATTTAATTGGTCAAAATATAGAAGATTTTTAAGAAAATAAAAGTTAAGATATTGTAATCACCAGTCCTCTTGAAAGCATTACTTATGTGTATCAATATGACAAAAATAATTTAGGAGTAAAATGAAAAAAACATCCATGTTAGTCTTATGAAAACTACTAGTTATGGTTAGTCTAGCAATATCCAAAAAGTTAGGATGAAAATAAATAAATTTCTAAAGTTGTCAGAAGAAAAAGAATGAGACGTCCAAGATTTTAATGAGAGACTACTGTGGGAGCATATATATTACCAGAAAAAGTAATTTATCAATAAACAATTCCATAAGCTATAAAGTGTGCTTTTTATTCCCGATTAGAAAAGGAAATAAGAAAATAATGAAGGACCATACATCGGTACATGAGTAGTCATTGAATGGTATTGCCCTTGCATTGGTGGAACATAGGAAAAGGCTAGAGGAGTATCCACTTACATTGTAGCGATCGGTGGAGAGATGCCTTCTCTTTTCAACAAGACTTGCAGGATTTCCATGACTTGGTTCATCTGGCCCATTAGCTGGTTGATCTCATCTTTTAATAGCTCTTGGTCTCTTTGAAGTTCTTCCATAGTTTTCTGAACCATACTTTAAGTCAAAAGTGTTGAGAAATCAGTTTGACGGTAGACAAACAACTGTGGAGAAAAAGACAACTGAGAATGAGATCCTGCGCAACCTGGACGTATGCAAGGTGAAGATGATGAAAATGATATGCAATGTCATGTAATGCAAAGCAGTGCAATAGGATCAAAGGATCAGAACATAAGCCACAAGAAACACATTCACCAACGGAAATCCGGAACCATAAAAACCACAGAGTCACCAACGGTACTTGTAAGATCAAACCATCCCCACTCACAAATGGAGTCTAGGTCAAGGTAAGATCAAGGTAAGGCCAAGGAGTAACTCAAAATCACAAGTTCTCCTGAAAGTGTTATCATCAAAACCACAGACGTGGATGATGATAACACCCCATTTGAGCCTCATCTAAGCATGGACGACATAACTGCACTAGTAGGACCTTCGTCCAATAGCCGTCATGTTTCATTATATTCCTATGTGTTCCTAAGAGTTTATAACTCTAGCCTATGTACAGAACCTTTTACCTCATAGTAACCACCCATCAAGTGAACAAGCTATAAACAGTATAAACAGTATATGGAAAGCGATAAAAATGCAATGCATGCATATGTACAAACATATACAAGTGAACAAGCTATAAAGCATAAAGATAAACACCCAAAGAAAAGAAAAACAAGAGTTAGGAGTGACTCACGGGATGTACCAGTAATTAGTCAATCTGTCACTAGTGAAGTCGCCACCTGAAGCAACCGACAAAAAATCATCGAGAAAAAATCAATGAAGTCACCATCGATTATTCATTTATCCCATAGAAGGGAAAGGAAAATTATTGAAGAAAAACCTAAGAAGAGAGAAATCACGATCTTACGATCGAGAGATGGGGTACGGAAGTCGATTATGCAAGGGGAATGTATTAGCCTCCCTCATGTCTGTGGTACTCCATGGAATCCACTCTTGTTGTTCTAATTAAAGGATGTGTTCATATCTAAAGCTAATCAAGCTAAAGTAAAATGCATGAGTGCAAATCGTATATACAAAGAAAAATGTTTTGTTGGTTGTGTCCGCCGCAATTGTGAACTTTTAATGCCTACATAGATTGAAATCCTGATGTCTACCTCAACTAAAAGATGAGTCGACCGATCCTAAGGGAGAATACAGAGGTTTAAAGAAAACAACAAATACAAGTGCAATCAAACAAATTCGAATCAGAACAAAAACAAAAATCAAGTGCGAGCTAGCAACAAACAAATGAATCCAATGGACTTCAAAATGGAAGTAAGGAACTTTTATCACTTGATTTTCTCAAGCACTGATATCAAGTAACAACTCAAAGCATCAACGTCAGACAACGTGAGCTAATATCGCCAAAGCGAAGACAAAGTGTGGACGTCGATTACAAACCATTTTTCACTTTATTTGACTCAATGAACAAGAATAAGCATGGTTCAAAGCATCAACGTATAATGCGAGGTAAGAACAATATGAACTAGAAAGTGTGGGGGCCGATTGCGAGTCCTTTGCTCCACTTATTGACTCGATAGCAAACACAAAGTAAAAGGGGAGGAGAATTTCCTTCTTTGAGGATTTTGACAAAATTGCCTCTTTTTGAGGTCTTTAAACAAACACAAAACATTATCTCATTTAAGGTTTTTAATCAAACACAAACATCGCCTCCTTTGAGGACTTTAAACAGAATTTCTCACCTAAAGTATGGACTCCCAGGCATGCATCTCTATTCCTACTTCTCATGACAAGAAAATCGAAAAAGACAATACATAATATAAACAAGATAAGCATAATACCAAACGAATAAAAAGTTCGTAGCAAAGCAATATCAAATCAAAAGAAACTCGAAGATCTTCGCGAAAGCTTCACCAACAAAGAAAAGAGTCATAAAATGAATGCTCAGAATAAGTGTCAAAGCATCATTAATGTGAAAATAAATCACAATCGAAAGGTGCATCAAGCAAGCTCAAATATCAAATAAAAATCCCTGCATAAGATAAAGTTCACAAACAAAACAGGATAACAAAAAAATAGTCTGCACATCTCATATAAAATAAGAATTGAATCCAAGTGTATTAGAAACTTATATCAAAGCTAAATGAAACAAATGAAATATAGAAACGGGTGCTTAATTAATTAACTTAAAAGTTAGTTAAGTTAATTAATTAAGTTAAGAAAATTTAATTAGCCGAAACTAATAATTTTTAGTGACCAAATTAAATAACTAAATCGACTTTCAGTTAATTAATTAAAAGCAACAAAGTAGCATATAATAGAAGTTTAATCGATTAATCAAGAGTTGATTAACTTAATTAATTAATTTAAGAAAAACTAATTATTAAACTAATCTATTTTTAATAACAAAATTAAATAAGTAAATCAACGCTAGTTTAATCAATTAAACGTAGATAAAAGGTGGAAAGCAGCTACTTGATCAGTCATGAGAAGCTTGCACAAACTAACAAACAAGATTAGTAATCACAAGGTATAACACTGAAATGAAACTTGTATGATACACATAAACAATTCAAGAACCAAACAATTGATTATTCAAGTATTTCAATTCACAAATGAACTAAAACTAAAGAAACTCGTGCAATTATTCAATCCAATATTCCAAACATAGAGAAATGATTTTGAAACAAGCTAAGATCAAACAAAACAAATCCGGACAGCCATGCACATGAACAAATAAAGTTAAAAAATTTAACTTAAATCGACTGAACTTTACCGGAAAACCATCAATATCGTAACCAAGATTTCCATCCTTCAAGTTAAATCGAATACAACCAAAACAGTCACCGAAGCTTCTTCAAATTGAAACCAACAAAACCATGACATACAATAACTTCACTCCACATAAAAAATCAAGAGTAGTATTGTCATTACACATTAAAATCGAAAACCTTGCAAATTCAACACAAACAAAACATAACGTCCACATGAATTTCGATATCCAGTTTCGATACCAAATACCAACATGATGATCTTTACGCTACAAAAAGTGTTACCGACATAATGATTTCAACATTCTGATTAACAACTCTTATCATTCACAATCATAACACAAAATTTATAAAAACTCAACATGGTTTAACACAAATGAACCAGAATTTTTTCAACGAAGCAGCACAATATAGACACTCAAAAGGGAATTTTCAATATCCAAATTTAACACAAACAAACATGATGTTAACATGATAATCCAGATTTAATCAAAACCAACACAGTATTAACGCGATAGTCGCTCTAATCCGATACAACCATAGCAAATACAAGTTAAATAGAATTTCAGTTATGATTTAATTCAAATTGTTAAATCATAAAGTTCCTACTCAAATAATTAAATCAAACATATCAAATCAATTCAGCACAAATTTTCACAGCAATCACAGTTACAAGCAAAAGAAATTGAAAGTTACGGAACCGTCTGGAGTTGATGCGAACGGGATGCTGAAACTGCTATTGATGTGCGGCGGAACTGAGTTAGAGAGAATTTTTGAAGTGTTGCAGAAGAATATAAGACGGATATCGGATTTGCTATAGCGGATTGAACGGAAGAATCGATGTTGAGAGGCCGTCAGATTCATAAGTTGGAAACGGATGGAGCTGTAGCTGAGCTGGTACAAAGACGGAAGAACGTGATGGATTTACGGTGATGAGAAATAAGGTTTAGCGATGAGATGAGAGAGATGGAGAGAAGCCACTTTTTTGGATCTGATCTTTTTTGTTCCTCCATTCTCGTGATTCCTTTTCTTCTTATCAACTAGATAAATCTTATCCAAAAAATTTCATCGAAAGATCAAAAAGCCCTTATGTCAAGATATTTTCAAATTTAATCATAAAATAATAACTAAACAATTATCTTTTTTACAAAATAAAAATTAAGAATTTTTTTATTAATAACCATGTATTAAAATAATATTTCGCAAATAACCGGGTTTCGGAAAAAATTACGCAAATAACCATGTTTCAGATGGCTCCACAAAGGAGGAGCCATCTCACTTGGCGCCTCCACCTAGGGTTTTGCCGTAGGCGCTATCTCACTTGGCGCCTCCCTTGGCTTTTAGCCAAGTGAGATGGCGCATGCTCCTTAAAAATGAGAGGAGGCGCCATCTCACTTGGCGCCTAGGGCAAAACTAGGGCAAAATGCTGTTTTATAAATAATTCGTTCGTTTCTTCGAAATTTCTCACACTTTCTCGCACTGTATTTTTATTTTATACTCCGTTATTTGCGTAATGACGTCGCCTATGATTTTTAGCAGAGATGGTTACGTTATATTCTCCGCCACGAAACCTGCGATGAAAATGAAATTCTGGCACATTCACTCCATGGAGCGTCTGAAGCGGGAGTTGATACGGTGGCTAGATGGAGACATCGCGGAGGGGGGGAAAATTCGAAGGATCCAGCGAAAACGAACAACAACCTCACATGCGACAGGAAGACCTAATGTGTGGTCGGAGGAAGTCAAAACAGACAGTGATGTAATGCTGATGATGCATGGGTCAGATGAAATTGTGTTAACAGTTGTAATTTCCTAGATTGAATATCGTTAATTATTGTTGTACGCGTTTTATTAACTGTAGCAAAATCTGTTAACGGAAAACCCTAATGTTTACAACACAAATATTGAAAAGATTTATTGTATTACAATATTTATGTGGTCGAGCCAGACGCCCGATTCGAACAATTTTTGCGATTGTGTCCGACCTGACGGCATAAACCACACTTTCTTTCCAACCTGTCAAGATCGTCCATTTCTATTGTGATGCGCTTACTTTTGGGACGACCCTTCTTGTCCCTTCGCATTTGGTCATTGTGCCAAACTATATCGCCGTTGTATTCAGGCCAATAATCCGGTTTTGCCACCAAAGGAAAGTTGTTTTTGTAAACAGTGAGCAACATTTCAGATTTGTAAATGTTTGACAGCAGTTGAAGCGCGTCTTGATGGGTATGAGCACAAGCGGCAATGACATGAGAGCAAGGCATACGAAATGCTTGAAACCTGCCACAATCGCACCATTGAGAAGGTAAAATGACCCTGTATTCTTGTCTTGGCAGGCCTTCATTGTGGTCGATTTTCTCTTTCACAATGAAGTTGTGGCTGTGTCGGTCAAACCGTGTAACCATGTGAGTGTTGGCTTTAGCACTTTTAGCCTTAATGTATTTCATGCAGCTTTCACTCCATAGTTGTCCTGATTGCAACACCGCATTCCACATTTCACCTCTTTTGGCAAATAACGCAGCCATCCTAAAATACGTAGATTTTACCAAGGCAGTGATTGGGAGGTTTCGTATGCCCTTGAATACCCCATTCATTGATTCAATAAGATTCGTTGTCATATGCCCCCATCTTTGGCCATTGTCGTATGACCTAGTCCACTTTTCCACCAGAATATTGTTGATCCACCTACCAGCTTCTGGATTAGACAAACGGATCTCGTTGCGGTAATATTTGAATGTGGGTTGTGTCAATGCATATCCCGCATTCATAACCGCTTTCCTCAATGTTTTGTCCTTGACCTCCCTCGAGAAATTCTGGACGATATGCCTGACGCAATAGACATGCGTAGAAGGAGGGTCATGCCAACCATTTGCTGGATTATTGTAGGCACTTTCAATGGAGGCATGTCTGTCCGAGATCAAACAGAGATCTGGTTGAGGAGCCACGTGTGTCCGAAGATTTTTCAAGAAAAAGCTCCAAGCACCACCGGTCTCCCCCTCGACAAGGGCAAACGCAACGGGGAAAATGTTATTGTTGCCATCTTGTGCAACTGCCATCAATAGCGTGCCTTTGTACTTCCCATACAACCAAGTCCCGTCAATTTGTAGAATTGGTTTGCATGATGCAAACCCTGTGATGCATGGTTAAAATGCCCAAAACACGCAACTGAATATTCCGTTGCCATGCAGTAGACTACCATCTTTGGCGTACGCTGGCAATGTTTCCAGAACATAAACACTACCTGGAGAATATGTCTTGAGTGCATTTAGGTAGAGGGGAAGTTCTCGGTATGACTCCTCCCAGTTTCCATACACCCTTTCAATCACCTTAGTCTTTGCTAACCACGCCTTACGGTAAGACGGAGTGTAGTTAAAAATCGTGGTGATGTGGGAGATCATTGTTTTCACCTTCAAAGATGGGTCGTTGCTGACCAGGGGTAGGATTTCTTGACAGATTAGATCATGGTTGAGTTTTCGGTGGTCCTGTGATTGAGTGGAACTTACACAAGTGTGGGTAGTCATGGAACCTATGATCCAGCAGTCACCCCTTAATCTGTATGATGCGGTCAGCTTAAACATACAGTCAGGGTGGACACACTTGATCTTGTACCTTTCCGGGTTGACACGATCAACCTTAAAATCAACCGAGTTGAGCATGTGAAATTTTTTAATGTCCCTGATGCATTCCTCTCTGTTACGAAACTTGTCCTTCTCTTTTAAATTTTCATCCGACTGCATATACGGTTTGAAAAATAAGTCAGTAGAAGGTTCATCTCCGCCCATGTTGAAGTTTGTCATGTGCGGAGGTGGTGTGTAGATTTTGTCTGTAGGAATACTAGGGATGCCATCATCGTCAGAATCATCGTTCACCATTTCATCAAACTCTAACTCGTTATCTTCTTCTTCATCATCAACTGCATCTACCTCATCTTGTTCATTCTCCAAAGGATCAACCTCCTGTGTCACCGGAGGCTCTACCTCCTGTGTCACCGGAGGCTCTTGAAGCAAAACGTACAACTCAATAGAGTCGTATCCAGAATAGACATGGCTGGAAATCATATTCTGGAGATCCTCGTCATCTTGAACTTCAACCTTATAAAAAATTACTTGGTTGTTTCCAAAAAAAACTGGATTCTGATAAAATATCTGGGATACCGGGCCTCGTTCAAGTTTGGCCTCCAATCTTTTCTTGAAGTACGAGAAATTGGCTTTCCCGTTTAAGAGAAATCGAACATTGTCGGTGTTTCTAAACAAAAACCCAACTGTGGGACAAATGTATGTCTCACCGTTGAAATGTGCTTTGACGACAAATTGTGGTGAAGAGGCCATTGCGTAGAATTGTTTTAAGGTTTGAAGGTTGGAATGTTTGAGGTTTATTGATTGTATGAAGGTATGAATGCTGTAATGTTTGAAGGTTGGAATGTATGAATTTGATGACTGATTCTAAGGTTGGAAGATTTGACAGATTATGTGAATCAAGGTTATGTTAAACGTAAGGCTAAAAATTTCAATTAAGTAAGGGATGCAACCCCCCAAGGCTGCCAATAATATTACATGCAATAATGAAACCCCATAGGCTGCCACCTATCCTGGCCCTATTCTGCACATATACATGTTTTTTGTAAGACTCCACCCATCAACTCCAATGGCCTTGCATGCAATAAAGAAAGGAATCCCAAAGGCTGTCACGTAGCCTGAGCCTATGCTGTAACAAATGACACATCTTATTCGCCAAATGGGGTGGCGACACCATTCATTTTTGTACTCTTTCGCCAAGTCCAATGGCGCCTCCCTTACTGTCCAATCGTGATACATGCATGGGCTTATGAAACCCCATAGGCTGCCACCTAGCCTGGCCCTATTCTGCACATATACATGTTTTTTGTAAGACTCCACCCATCAACTCCAATGGCCTTGCATGCAATAAAGAAAGGAATCCCAAAGGCTGTCACGTAGCCTGAGCCTATGCTGTAACAAATGACACCTCTTATTCGCCAAATGGGGTGGCGACACCATTCATTTTTGTACTCTTTCGCCAAGTCCAATGGCGCCTCCCTTAATGTCCAATCGTGATACATGCATGGGCTTATGAAACCCCATAGGCTGCCACCTAGCCTGGCCCTATTATGCACATATACATGTTTTTTGTAAGACTCCACCCATCAACTCCAATGGCCTTGCATGCAATAAAGAAAGGAATCCCAAAGGCTGTCACGTAGCCTGAGCCTATGCTGTAACAAATGACACCTCTTATTCGCCAAATGGGGTGGCGACACCATTCATTTTTGTACTCTTTCTCCAAGTCCAATGGCGCCTCCCTTACTGTCCAATCGTGATACATGCATGGGCTTATGAAACCCCATAGGCTGCCACCTAGCCTGGCCCTATTCTGCACATATACATGTTTTTTGTAAGACTCCACCCATCAACTCCAATGGCCTTGCATGCAATAAAGAAAGGAATCCCAAAGGCTGTCACGTAGCCTGAGCCTATGCTGTAACAAATGACACCTCTTATTCGCCATATGGGGTGGCGACACCATTCATTTTTGTACTCTTTCGCCAAGTCCAATGGCGCCTCCCTTACTGTCCAATCGTGATACATGCATGGGCTGCCACCTAGCCTGCAAGAGTGACACCTTACATTTTTTGTACATGCATGCATGCATATGTGTAACCCCCTAACATGCAAATGTGACACTTCGCAGGCATGTAAGCACAAGCAACCAACCAAGTGATACCAAGAGATACAACAGATTTGTCCCCATGGAATCTTAAAAGGGTCGATGCCCAGTGGGGTCTTACCAACTGGAAAGACTTTGCTCCGGAATGGTGTAAGATGTGGCAGAGGCGTCACCGCTACGTC